TTCATCTTCCTTTCCATCTGTCCATCTATCTGTCTGTTCCTCTATAAGCTTAAATATATAAATAGATCATAAAAAGCAAGCCCGGTTTCTAATTAACTCTCTATACTGTATTTACCTCCTAATGCCCAGGGGAAGGTCAGCTCTTCAAGCCATAGGTTTCCTCCACAGGAGTTTTTTTTCTTTCTTGAGTACTGAAGGATGACTCTTAGTGAGTCTAGATGTATCCTATTTCTATTCTGTTTTTTTTTGGGGGGGGTTTTCAGCCAAATCTGGAATAATATCCAAGACATTGTGCTGCCTGGGTCCAAGGCTGAAATGCTGCCACCCAATACACTAAAACCACACTCACCAAAACACAACCACATCCATTATGTGATATCCTAATAATAATTAAAACTAAAATGAAACTTAATAATAAGCTGATTCATTTAGTCAAGTGCTGTCATAATGCTTCCAAAAGGAATCTATTCGTTATCTCACAGACAGGAACTGTTTTCAAGCCAAGGGTGGCTAAATGTCAGTATGGTAGACCTACAAATCCCATGATGCTTTTTCCAGCTTATGCAGTAGTTCCACAATATTTTGATAAAGGGACACTATAGTCACCAGAACCACTACATTAGAACTTCCCTATGCATGTATTAAAAATCTATCACCTTCTTGTCCATGTCCTTGTTTGTGTTGGACATTGTTCATATACTTCTTATACAGAACCATATCAAATAAATCTCTAGCCAAAAGCTTCTGCAACTTTGCATTCCCATTAGTTTGCTAGTCTAATTGAAGCTACTCTTGAAATAGCAAGTAACGTGCTGCAGATGTATGAACACAGCACTTGATCTTCTATTAAAAAGTAAGCTAACACTATTCACAACATGAATGCAAGGGAAGAATTGATTTTATAATACTTGGTTCTTACATAATTCTTAAACATCAGGTCAATATTTAATCAATCACATTTTTTAACATGATGACATTTTCTTAGATGTTTCTTCCTTCTCATAACTTTTCCTCCTTCTTAACCTTGAATGATTAAAAAATAACATGGTAATCATTGCCTGCCTAAAGAGCATTAAATAAAACTCATATTGCAAATAATATGCTGGTCTCAGTTGAAACTCATCAATCTTTAATCTAAGTTTACCATTAATATATACAATATTAGAAAATCAAAGCACCATATATTATGTAAAAGTATAGGAAAATCATCTAAAAGATTTTCTAAATAGTGTATATTTTTTATAATGTTTAATTATATATTGTTTTGTTAAAAAAAAAGTCTAAATTTACTTAGGGTCAAGTCTCGATTTGTCATTAAGCAAACTGGGAAAATCCTTGGAGGATTGCTATGATCATTGGCTGAGAGCTGGTTTGCGAGATCAGTGAAGCTCCCCAAACATCTACTGCAAATGGAGAGGCTGCCCCCAGAGAGCTACACTCAACATCATCAGTGACTAGGGTGGCCTTAATGGTGTGAGACCTGTACAATCACACATGGCACACAGAGAGAGGGGTTACCACCGCACTGCTGGCAAAATGCCAGCTGTGAAGTTAGAGAAACCTCCACAACTGACTTGCATGCAGGACATTGACTGGCAAGCTGCCCATCTTAATTGCTCTGGCCATACAAAGGAGTTTATGTAGTGTCACCAGTCAGAGATTACCAGTGGTTGTGCTGTGCCATTATTCTTAAATAGTGATGTCGCGAACCCGAAATTTTCGGTTCGCGAACGGCGAACGCGAACTTCCGCAAATGTTCGCGAACCGGCGAACCGCCCGAAACGCCATTGACTTCAATGGGGAGGCGAATTTTAAAACACACAGGGACTCTTTCTGGCCACAATAGGGATGGAAAAGTTGTTTCAAGGGGACTAACACCTGGACTGTGGCATGCCGGAGGGGGATCCATGGCAAAACTCCCATGGAAAATTACACAGTTGATACAGAGTCTGGTTTTAATCCATAAAGGGCAGAAATCACCTAACATTCCTAAATCACAATCAATATGGATTGACACCTGACATATGACATATTGACACCTTGACATATGGATTGACACCTGTCCTCAGAGCCCCTGATGCACACGGACACAGAGCAGAATAGAGACTGGTCCACCTACATAGGGTCACTTGGCAAATATGGATTGACACCTGTCCTAAGGATCCCTGATACACACTGACACAGAGCAGAATAGGGACTGTTCCCCCTACATCGGGTCACTTGGCAGATATGGATTGACACCTGTCCTAAGGTTCCCTGATACACACTGACACAGAGCAGAATAGGGACTGGTCCCCTACATCGGGTCACTTGGCAGATATGGATTGACACCTTGTTACAAACTGCTATTTGTAACGGGCCCTTTAAATGGCAAATTGCCCTGTTTCCCTGGGTTGTGGAGAAGCCTACTTTGCCAGCCTCCTCCCGCATGACTATGGCCCCTGGGAGATTGTGAAAATGTATGCACTTTTATTTGGTGTGTATGGCCCTTTAAGACTGTCGGTGGGCATATTGGGGCTTATGGACTCTTTATGTGACTGGTGCTGGCCCTTTAAACACCTTTTTTGGGACATCAGGAAGATTGGGACACTGCCCCTTTAAGGCCGTGTCCCCAGACTTGTTGGGGACACGGCCCCTTTAAGACGGTGTCCCCTGTGTCCCCAGACCTGGTGCAAACCCTTTGTGCCTGCCTTGCTATTTCCCACTTGGTTCAGTAAATGGGAAATTATTTCAGCTGCAGAGACTAAGTCCCATTCGGCGATGGGACTTAGTCTTTTTTTCAGCCGTTTTTTTCAGCCTTATTTCAGCTGCAGAGACTAAGTCCCATTCGCGATGGGACTTAGTCGTTTTTTCAACCTGAAATAGACCGACCTCACAGCCCAAATCTATGGAACTGTTTTGGGCAGGAAAATGTGCTTGCGGTCGGTCATAAAGGGACCTCCAGCTAACTTTTTAACCCCTGAATGGATTTGGCTGATTTTTGGTTATGTTTATGTTTTAAGTGTGCTGATTCCAAATATGTAATTGTTATGAAGATGGGATGTGTAGTTTTAAAGTTACAGTGTATGGCCAAAAACTGTATTTTTACTGCCTGTGTTTAATTATGTTAATCTCTTCCCAAGCGTCATTTAGTTCAAAGTGGAGAATGTTAAAAAGTATATTTTTGTTAGTGTGAAGTACTTTCAGCCCGCTTCTAATCTTAAGCATCATTTGAGGGAGCCATACAGGAGAGAAACCTTATTTGTGGTGTGTTTAGTATTGTTCTGATCAGTTTAATACCTTCGGCGTCTCCTATCAGTGGGCTGATGTATACTTAATAAACCATTTTAGGAACCGTACACCTGGGACCGAGCAAGGTCACCTCGTTCAACAGGCGACAACATTTGTCCCTGGAAAACTATCCTGGACATTCTGTACAATTTGTATGGATATGGCAGTGATTTCTGTAACAGGGAGATGGAAGAAGAGGCTTGGTCGGTCCTCTTGATTCAAATTTGGGGCACTGCGCGGTCAAGCTAATGTGCCACCAGATAGGAGTGGTGTGTTTAGTATTGTTCTGATCAGTTTAATACCTTCCACGTCTCCTATCAGTGG